GAAAGGGTCTAGTGCTGAGAAGAACTTGGAGTAGGTTAACGGCCTAGCTTCTGGAGATTAAATCAGGGTGTGTCGCCATGGAGATGGGGCCGACCCGCCTGCTCCGCTGCCATTGGCTGGGGACTCCCGGGCTGGAGATATAAGCCAGCGCTCGGCAGATAGTGCACTATCTGTGCAGACAGGACGGGAGACCGCGGTGTCGTTTAGCAGAGCAGAACCGAGTTGAGAAGGTCAGGCTCATCTAGAGGGTGTCGGCGGAAACATGGAGAAACGGTGAGGCGGGCCCCAGGCCCGGGGAACCGCTGGGGAGCGCGGGAAGAAATGGCTGTCACGGGGACTTGGAAACCTGGCACTCTGGGCCCGGAGGGGTCTGAGAGAGGGAGCGAGGCCCTGGAGATGCCGAGAGGCCTGGCACGGAGCCCGGTGTCAGGGATAAGGCAGCAGAGCAGGCGGGCAGCCCGCGCCGATAGCGGCGCACGCGAGAATCGAGGTGGAGTGGCGCCACTGGAGCAGGAAGGGGACGGCTTAGTACAGTGAAGTCTACTCGAAAAAGTAGCCGGTGTGTGTTTGTGCGCGCGTTTGGGGTGCAAGTGATTGGGAAACGGGGAGAAGAATACCTCTCTTTTCCCCTTCCCCCCGGCCCCCAAAACGGTCTTCTCACCCATGTGCTCTTCACAGATTCCCATTCCAGAGTCTAGGTAAAGCCGAGAGGAGCTTTGGTGCTCATATCTAGAGTCCCAACAAAGGAGAACTTGCTCACGTCCCTCGCCAACAACTCCCTTCCCTCCACGTTGGCGGTCCAATTAAATTGGAAATGGACTCTCCAAGGAGAGAAGAAAATCCTTTTTCAGTGAGCTCAGCAGCAGATCCTGCCCACTCCCCCAACCCACACCTTTGAAAAGCCTTCTCTGCTTTGGTCCTGGAAATCCCAGTCCAAGTCTGCAGGGTTAGGGATCACTGGCTTTGGGATGCCCAGGGATCGAAGGTGTTCTTGTGGAACTGATGGCCAATGAGAAAGTCCTGTAAACTGTGGCTAGATATGCTAGGTGTTCACATTTCTTTCATTTCATTTCCTTTCCCATCTGTTGATGGTATTTGATTAACTTTTTACCATTTTATTGCTTCTCTTCTCCATTCTGTGGCCCAGCTCTATTGCCTCTAGCCTTCACCCTTGTCCTTTACCCAGCTGCTTCCTGAGAGTAGCCTGGTTTATTGTAGTGTCACCTGGTTTCAAAGGCTGTGCTTTTAAGGAAAGAATTTCCTTTAGAGGCGCGGTTACTTCCATTCAGTTCAGTTTCACTTTTTTTTTCCCTTCAATCTTTGGTCTTTCCCGATGGATGTGAGAGAATTGGACTGGACTTCTGAGAAAAAATTTAGGTTGATTTTTTTGGGACGTATGAGTTCTGGGTAAGTGTATGTCCTTAAGTCTCTGAAGGGCAAAGAAGCTTGATGAAGAGAAGAAAAGATGAGAGAAGGCAAGGAGGAGAACAGAGCAGAGAGGAAAGTGGAAGAAAGATTCAAGAGCTATGGAGCTGAACCTTGATCTATGGAGTAATAGATCTTTGGAGCTTATTAGTAGCAGTTTTAATTAATTTTTAAACTGAGCCTGTAAGATAGGTGGAGCTCTTTACCCTCCATGAATTGATTATTTCAACTGTACTTCTGTAGACACTGTGACCCTTTCCTCTCTAAATCTCTGTCATAAGGAGAGCTATAAAACCTGACAGTGGTAGCAAAAGTGGAGTTGGGGCTGGTGGTGGAAACATAGATGTCATTAACTTTTGTCAGAGTCTGAAATGAATTTCATATCAGACTTTCAGTGGGTCTGATTCAGAAAGAGGAGTGGGTGGGCGGATGCGCTTAGTGTGGCCTCTCCTGAGAGAGCGTAGCTCTTCAGTCAACTTCTTTGTCCCCCACCACCTCAGTAAACCTGCCAGCCTTTCTGCACTAAAGGGCATTAGTCTATGATGCCCTTCAGATGGGAGCAAAAGTCACCTTGATTTTTCTTTTTTCCTAGACTCACATATGAAGATTGTCAGTACACTGCAGAATGGCTTCTGTCCCACACCAAGCACCGACCTCAAGTGGCAGTGATCTGCGGTTCTGGGTTAGGAGGTTTGACTAATAAATTAACTCAGACCCAGATCTTTGACTACAGTGAGATACCAAACTTCCCCCAAAGTACAGGTACTGGCTAGCAAGGAGAGACGTATGGGACCAAGGGAGCTTGATGAGATTCTGATGGTAGGGCAATGCTTCTGTCCAGACCTGGTTATCCTCTATAGCATTGGACTAAAAATAACTGTTGTAAGAGAGGAAAAAAGGCCACCATGAATCAGAATGACTTTAGAAGGAAATTCCCCTAGTAGAAATTTCATAATAGACAGGGCATGTGTGTGTTAATGGTAATATATGATAACACATTTCCTATGCTTTAACGACTCAGAGCTCCTTAAACCTCTACAACATCATCCCCATACATACCATGGTCACCACATGTTCACACATGCATCTCATTTCTATCATTCTGCAGCTTAAATGGAAAAAGCAGTGCCTGTAACCTCCCATGACAAAGTCAGGCCTGCCCTGTCCTATGTCCTCCTGCACAGCAACAAATGAACACACAGACTACCATGTTCTTGCAGACAAATACACAGATAATACATGAATACATAAAACCTGGCACACTGACCCTTTGGAGGGGGAAAAGGGCAGACGTCTTCTGTGCACAGTAGAGCTTGGGACCTGAGGATAATGTATCCAGCATCCTAATAGCAGCTGGAAAGTGGTATGGCTAAGGCCTGGGAAAGGGCCAGGTGAAATAAGGGTAATAAAGGATAAGAGTTATTTATTTGGTTTACTTATTAATTTCTCAGATAACTAACTTCCCTTGGCTAATTTAATACTCTTTTGGATTTCCACCTTCTTTTCCCTGGAAAGCTATGACTTTTAACAGATTTTTCACAGACACTTTTTAAACCATTTGGAGCAAGGCTGGGGGTTCAGAGCAGGGAGGTGGAAATGGGGATTGGAGACGGAAACACTAAAGAGACAGGGATAGCAGAACTTTCTAAGGGAGATAACAGTGACATTGGATCCACCTGCCACTCCTACACATAGTGAGAAGGGCGCTGCATTAAGTGATAAGTGAATTAATTTTTTAAAACTTTATCGACTTATTATTTATACTCTACTTGGGTTTTTCTAACTGTGTCACCTCTGCTCTATTATTGGCAATTTTTTATTTTAAATAAACTCCTCTATCTCTTAAGTATCTCTCAACTCTTCCTCTTGGTTTTGGTCCCTCTCTCAGACCATTCATTCCTTAAAGAATAGGTTGACCACGTCCATTAGAGGAGAAATGCCAGGTAAAGAAAATGGTAATAATGGATATTATATCTGTGTGGGGAGTTATCTTTGCATGCTGCATCATGGGTATGTATTCCTACAGGAAATTGTGTGTCATAATGGAGACTCGAATGAGTTCTAACTCAGCCCCTTTCCCTGTTCAGTAGCCTCTTTTGGAAGCAGAATATACCATAAGCTCCCTTTCAGGAGTATGGATACATATAGTTTAGTTAGAGTAATAAATAATAATATGCATTTTTGAGAATTTTGGAAATTTTGGAAAAGAGATCTATAACTGTGTTCACTGCATTCATTATTACCCACTTATTCTTTTGTTGTTGTTGTTCACTTTTATTCTCTTGCAGTATGGCTTTCTCATTCTTTTGAAATTTCTTTAAAAAGACTTTTCCTTGATATATGTTCATTTGAACATCTTTACCCTCATAGGTCTAATCTCAGGATGTACTTATATACTTATTTGTAACTTATGATTAACCTCTGTCTCTACCAGACTTAAACTTTCTGAAAGTGGAGATAATAATGTCTTCTTTTGCTTAATTACATCCTCACATGTTGAGCACAGTGAGTTGGCTCACAGTAGGTGCTAAATGGGTATGTGCTGTATGAAAACATCATCTCATTCATTTCCCTTTCTTTGTATTCAGTGCAAGGTCATGCTGGTCGACTGGTGTTTGGGTTCCTGAATGACAGAGCCTGTGTGATGATGCAGGGCAGGTTCCACCTGTATGAAGGCTACCCGCTCTGGAAGGTAAATCAGGATCATAGGCCTGGTTGGATCTGGAGGAGGAAAGAGTTCTCCTACTTTATTACCTAACTAGCTGGGCAAGGTAGATTTTTAGTTTCCTTCTTTCATGGTGTATATCATGCATATCTGCATGGTGGATTGGGGAAATTTTAAAGAACGCTTTCTGATCTTTTATATTTTGTTTCTAAGGTGACATTCCCAGTGAGGGTTTTCCAGCTTCTGGGTGTGCACACCCTCGTGGTCACCAATGCAGCTGGAGGGCTCAACCCCAAGTTTGAGGTTGGAGACATCATGCTAATCCGCGATCACATCAACCTACCTGGTATTTGCGGTGAGAACCCTCTCATAGGGCCCAATGATGAAAGGTATGTGTTTCGCTCCTTTGTTTATAGATGGGAGAGTTTAAGGACCTATCTGGGAGTTAGGAGAGAGCTCACTATATTCCATATCTCTGAAATAATCCAACCTATGCCCTAGGTATGGAGTTCGTTTTCCTGCCATGTCCGATGCCTATGACCGGGAGATGAGGCAGAAGGCTCATAGTACCTGGAAACAAATGGGAGAGCAGAGAGAGCTACAGGAAGGCACCTACGTTATGGTGACGGGCCCCAGCTATGAGACTGTGGCAGAGTCTCGTCTGCTGCAGCAACTGGGTGCAGATGCTGTTGGTGAGAAGGGAAACTTGGCTGGAGACTAGAAGCGGGAGGGATCCGATAAAATAGAGATGGGAAGGAGTAAAAGATTATAGACCTGATAGGATGGAGAGAGGATCTGACTTAAGGGAAGATTAAATTAAACTGATTTCCAGAAATATATTAAGGTGGTGAGATTTGATGTGTTGTAGCATCAAACCTCCCTACACAGTATCAAAGAGTTTAACAGCTGTATTGCTAAAGACCTATCCATGATTTGATAGCTACTTCTAAGGATTATTCTAACAAATGTCATAGCCACCTTCTGTACCTTTGACTGGAGGATGGAACTACATCATTAGAATCGACTTCAAAATTTCCACAGACAGTTATAGAAAAAAAGCATCGCAATGGTAACATTTATAAGAAATGTGTAAGGCCCTCTGAAGCTTTCCTCTTTCAAGCAACACAGAAGCAACCTAAGCTCAACACTAATTTAGCTGCTTCCTTGGTTGTTTTTTGAGATGTTAAATTGTCAATGAGGTAATGAATAGAGGTTAATGAATAAAGGGTGAGGAAAAGAGTCATTTGAGGACCCTGACACTTGGTTTTTCTCTTTCTCCTCATTAGGCATGAGCACAGTACCAGAAGTTATAGTTGCAAGGCACTGTGGACTTCGAGTCTTTGGCTTCTCCCTCATCACGAACAAGGTCATCATGGATTATGAAAGCCTTGAGAAAACAAACCATGAGGAAGTACTAAAGACCGGGAAACAAGCTGCGCAGAAATTGGAGCAGTTTGTCTCCATTCTTATGACTAGCATTCCACTGCCTGACCATGCTAGTTAACCAGCCCTGGGGTGGTCTGGCTTCTCCCTTATGGTTTCCAAGTAGTTGCTACCTACTTTGCTGGGGTCACATGCCTCTGTCCTTACGCAGTAGCAGAAAAGAGAGGAAGATTTTTATATTTCCCTTTCCCACTTCTCCCACCAGATTCTTCTGGTGCTGGGTCCTCTTTTGCTCAATTGTCTTCTCAAAACAGTGTCCACCTCTATTCTTTCACAAGAGCTGGAGCTCAAGCCAAGCCCTACTACACATCCATAGATATTTGATGTTGGCTGTTGAACTTGACACAGTAGAAGTCGATGCTAGCTTTTTGAGATGATGTTCTCACATTCCTGGGGACTCAGTTCTGCCTCCCCCAAAGTACTGGAAACCACACAAGGACCAGCCCAATACCTTTTATACTTTTAATGCTTTATATTTTGAAAATAAAGAGAAAGATGAAATAATTTCTTCATTTTTGTACAGTTGGGATTAGGCTGGGGCACAGTCCAAGATTGGCCTGAAAGGCTGTGAGACCACATGTGTTATTATGACTATTTGCTTTCTAGACAGGTAGCTAAGAACTGAGATGAGGCGCTATGTGAATGCAGGGAAGGATGAAGAAAAGGCAAGATGATGAAAGATAAAGATATTAGAAGATGATAAGGGAGAAAAGGCTAACTTCTGCGATATGATGGCCACTTCCCTAAGACCAGTCTTGCCTCTGTCCCTTGCCTTCTTTTTTCACCTCCTCTCTACTCTCATAAATATCTGAATTAGTTCACGATCTCCACTGTTCTTTCTCTTCCACTGTTGCCAGTTCCTTGTTAAGCCCTAATTATATTTCCTCCTTTTTTGCTTATTTTTATTTTTATTTTTTATTAAATTTATTGGGGTGAGATTGGTCAATAAAATTATATAGGTTTCAAGTGTACAGTTCAATAATATATTACCTGGATATTGTTTTGGTTTTTGTTTGTAATTTTAAGGACATTTATTTCTTATAGTTCTGGAGGCTGGAAGTCTGCAATTAGGGTGCCAGCATGGTCAGGGTCTGGTGAAGACCCTCTCCCTGGTCTCCTCACATGGTGGAGCTCATTATATTCCCTCTTGACTTCCCTCTCCTCGCTACTCTAACATCTTCCATAATTAACGGCAACGATATTCTCCTTCACTCCATTCTGACGCAGTGGCAAATATCCCTTTATCCTCTGCCAGCCACTTTACTGCTGATTAGAGTCCTGCCAAGCCCAGGCAACTTGTGAAGTTGGCTCATATTCAGCATCTCTTTAAGCATTTCCTTTTCTCTTATTTCCATTCTGACTCTAGTCTTTCTCTTCACTTTGCTTCGTCAGAACCTTCCTATGACGCGGCAGTCGGGCATGGCCCTTTGTTGGCTCATTGCACTATTTGCTTATCAACTTGCATTCAGCAGTCTGGTGTGTTTGGAAAGCATACTACCTTCCCAGGTCTATTTGCCTTTCAAGAAAGGATAGTGCTGGACGAGCCTCTAATAGTGGTGACATTTCAATTAGTATAATATGCAAGAGGCATTTTGGACAGAAAGCATTTGAAAACTCTTTCAAATCATCCTTTGTCTGGTAACCGACCTACTTAGCTGAGCCCAGCACAAAGAAAAAGCATCCTGGAGTGGCCCTGTCACCACTCTTCCTTTCATCAGTTCTTGTACCTCCACCCGGCTCTAAAATCTACCTGGACATTTAGGCAATCTGCTAGCACCTGTCATTTGTCTTTGAGAGTTGGTGCAGAGGGTAAGTACTTTAGATTTATGTACAACTCTAACTTGTCCATCTAATCAGATGGTTTATTAACATTTTAATCAAATTATTAAATATCTCTGTATAACACTCTCAGCTAACATAATGTTAAATTAAGAATCTAAAAATGGTCTTTCTTCAAGTGCCTTACAATCTTAAGGTTGAGATACATTTGTAAAACCATTAACTTAATATAAGGCAGTATAAGATAGGTACAAGTCACATGCGATGGGAGCCCAAAGGACAGACCAATTGTATACATTGGACCATGTTTAGGGAAAGTTCTATATAAAACTTTGAGCTTAGTCTTAAAGGCTGGAAGGGAGGAAGAGGATTTCACACCTGAGCGAGAAAAGCACAGAACTGTGAAAAGTACTACTAAGCATGTTCATGTGTCGTCACAAAAGTTATGACTAGAATACAGGATACGAAGGGCTCTAGTGAGCTGTGAGCAGACAGGTATTTAGAGGTCAGAGTGGGGCTGCATTGAGTACTTGGCTTTCTTAACCCTGATCTGCCTCTTGGTGAGATGGATCAGGAACCAGAATTGTGCCACCTGAAAATGTGTCTGAGAGAGACTTGAGTAGAATATTTAAGGGAATTTCTAGCTTTTTAGATTTAGTGAATGAGTTTACACATTTACCCTGTAATGAGTGTTGAGTTGCATAAGATACCAGATTCAAGAAGATTGTGCGTTCAATATCCTATTTCAAGAATTTAATTCTTTAGTTCTAAGTTAAAGTACAAAATGTAGGACTCACCTACTTTATGTGTATATACATATACCAAGTACATATATTACTATATTCATATTAAGGTATTAAATATACCCCAATGGAGGCAGAAAACAAAATTGTACATTGTTTATAATGCAAACCGAGAGATATTACAAGGAAAGTAGCTACAGGCAATTAATAGTCATTTAATTATAGGTAATAAGTATTAATTCAAAGTTAATTCACTAGAATTCTAGGTTTAAAGGGGTATGAGATGGGGAGAGAAAACATGAACACAAAGTGTCTTTAATTTCTTTTTAAAAACAGCTTGCCTGAAATATAATGCACATATAATAAAATCTACTCACTTAAAGTATATAGTTTGATGGTTTTTAGTATATCCACAGGTAAGTGCGATCACCACCACAGTCAATTTCAGAACATTTTCATGACCTCAAAAGGTCATGAAAATTTGTACCTTTTATCTATCATTCTGTGCCCACCTAACCCCCTGGCCTAAGCAATCACTAATCTACCTTCTGTCCCTATAGATTAAACTATTTTAGGCTTTCATATAAACGGAATAATGCCCAGAATTGTTATGTAGCTAGTCAGACATGAGTGACAGGGGACCAAAGGAATAGGGGCCCAGTTCTGTAACCATAGAAACTTTCCTTGAAGACCTTTAAGGACCTCCCAGAAATTTCTCCCTTTTAGAGTTATAAATTACCCCAAATCCTAGATCAGGGAGGCCATAAAAACTGCTGGCCTAAACCAGCTACAAACCCATGCACAGAAAGTACTGCCCATAACTTCAGCCTCATTATACTATCATTATAATATCGTGACTATGCCTAGAAGTTCATGAATCTAATTATAATAGACTGAATTCTTAGTACGCACGTACACACTAGGCAAAGTTATTGTTTAGTGTCAATCAGATGTCAGTCAAAATGACCTCATTTGCCAATCACCAAGAATGTCTTTGGAACCACCCATCACGGTACAAATACAAGGCGGACATTCCCACTTCTGGGCCCTTTTTTGCCTTTCTGGGCTCCTCCCTTTTAGGTGGCCTTTTGTAGCCTTTTGCCCTTTTGTAGCCATTTTGGCCCCTTTGTGTTGCGTACAGCGCTGGGACCATGTGCCTCCTTACAGCATATTTTGTCTTTCTCCAAGTGCCTCCTTGGGGCATTCTTTGTCTTTCTAAAAAATATTTTTAATAAAACTATTAAATCTCAATGACCTGTGATTCTTCATTGCATCATTTAAGGAAGAACCGAGGAAAAACGCTAACTACACTTCTGTGCCATCGTTATCCCTCTCCCTCCCTCCTACTGTTGGGGCAACACCAAACTCCCATCAGCCCCAACAGTGACAGAATCGTGTGTACTTTTGTGACTGGCTTCTTTAACTTAGCATAATGTTTTCAAGTTTTATTCAACTCGTAGCATGCCTTAGTACTTCCTTTTTATGACCAAATAATAGTCCATGGTATGGATACACCACATTTCGTTTATCAAATGTGTTCAATTTCAAAGTACCAAATAACCCAGTTCAAATTGAATGTATCAGTTTTGGTGAACAAGAGAATAAAACACAAAGTCAAGGGAGATAGGTCTGGGAAGGCCACCTAGAGAAGGGTTGTTCTTGAAAAAGGCTGGTGATACTATTCTACTTCAGAAGGACCTGCAGGATGCCTGCAGAATGGCTTGTTTTTTTCTTGAATCTCATTGAAGAGGAATTTTCCACTCAAATGGTTAACCTTGTAATCAGCTCTTTTTTCTGCTTCTGTAGTCATGTTTGCTGCATAGGCCAAAGGGCAGAGTGATCTCCAGATCAACTAAAGACTCACCCTCCCCTTTGTTATTTTGTTTGTTTGTTTGTTTGTTTGTTTAGGCCAGGCAACCCTTGATTGATCTCACAGATTGCAAGGACCTTGTCATCTTACAATCCCTTATTTTTTTTATTTTTTATGCCTACAGCATCTGGTCTTCTTAGGTGGTCTCCCATCCAAGTACTAACAGCAGGCCCGACCCTGCTTAGCTTCCAAGACCAGACGGGATCAGGCTTGTTCAGGGTAGCATGACAGTAGACTCACCCTCCCTTTTGATTGTTCTGTCTAGATAACAGATGCATTGTCTAAGTTCCTATTTGAAAATCTCTTGCTCTGTAACTGCCCATAGTAACCCATAGTAACTCCTGAGGAAAAATTCACCAAACAGCATGGATAAGCCCTATTAAAGCAAGGTTGCCCCTGAGCTGGGGGCCCAGATCTTCAGAGCACTAGCTCTTCTGGGACTGCCTGTGTAATAAACCTGAGTTTCCAACTCTCTGAGTGGTGCTTGGTTTCTCGCAGGTCTGATTTCGCAACATTTCTGCATCATCATGATAGATGTCAAAACACACTCTCCATCATGTTAGGCTTTCTTCCCTGACCCTGTCATGATTATCTTTATCAACATCAATAATGTTTATTAATCATGTACCATATACTTTGAATAGAACATTGTCCTAAAAACCATACTAGGTATTAGTAATAATACAAAAGTACTTGCAATCTAGATGGGAGACAAGATATGTGCACAAAAACGAGGCTGACTTAGTTGTGCCTTCTACCTACTTTTAGTCTTTTGATATGTTATATTGTCATTTTTTAGAATCAGTTTTCTCTGCTGAACTGTGAATAAGAGGGATTAACTTTTTGAAAAAGAAATGCAAAAATGTGTGAAAAGTAGCATATACTAAGTGCCAGTGATGGCTTGTACTACAGGAATTCAGAGGAGAGAACCAATACTGGGGATAGGGAGTGGGAAAGGGATTGGTGAGATCTGAGTTAGGTCTTATGGAAGTGATAGATGAAGAGGAAGTGGCAGAAGGCACTACATGTAAACAAATTCAAAAATGTTTAATCATTTAACAGATTGAAATGGTTAAATTGAAATTATAAATGAGAGCAGTAGGAGATAAAGT